GATGTACTTTCATGATATACTCCATTGTCACAGTTACACATATAGTTTTCAATAAAATGTGTCTGTTTGAATAGATTGCAGGGGAACGATTTATGAAATGACCATCATGGTATTGCCCTTGTAACTTCCAAGAAAACAAACTATTTAACATTCCTATTCCAGGTATACACCATACATATGAAAATAATGATATAGAATTGTGTAATTTTTTTTATAATCAATAATTTATTGTGAAAAAAACACTAAATTGCACATATATGGAAACTGTTAATGTAAAACGAGTGAAAAAAATATCAACAACTGTAAATATAAGGCACTAAAAATTGCACATAGAAATATTAGAATTAGGAGGATGTCCTCCGAAAACAATCAGTGAAACAAAATTCTAGGAAGAATGTACCCTAGGTGCAAGACCGTGTTTGTCTCTCACACACTCCACGTTACAGTCTGGAATGATTGCTCAGATTTGGAGTTTCTGGGGGACTAATGAACATCACACAGGCTGGCAGCCATGCTAGGAAGGATACCACCTAAAAAATAAACATCACCTCGACGGATTAAATTAGACAAAATGTTATAGAATACAGTTTAGAGAAAAATGTTTCGATGGTCCTTTTCTCTCTGAAAGTATGGTGGTATTTGGTTTACGAAACGTTTTATTACGCCCTCATCTTACAGACGTTTGTCCGATTTATTATTTTTGTAGTATTTTTCCGAAATTGTATGAATTTTATTATTGCACATATTGTTGATGAAGTTAAATCATGGACTTCAGTCCTTTCATAAACTGACTGCCCAGATTGATATATGGCGAGTGCTGGCAGTAGGACAGGATATAGTTTCTTCTAGGTAAGTCTAGTCGCATGAGACCGGAATATGTTAACCATCTTTGTTGTCCCAAGTTCGGAAAATAGCGCCCCCTTACTCCGAAAAAAATAGCGCCCTCAGGTGTAAATATAATTGGTCATGTTGCACTCTTGTTTTACTTCTTGTTAGTCCTTAAAAACATCTTGTTTTGTTGCTTAGAATGTAACATTACTGTACATATGTTTTATTGATTTATACATATTGCCTGTACCTTCATATTTTTACATTTTTGTTTAATCCGTTCTTTCATATGATGTAAAAGGCCTTTCTCAAGCACGCAAAGCAAGTATCGTGAGGATCAATTAGACGGAGGTTACAGGTTATTTATGTAGTATCGAAGTGAATGCATGTTGCTATGACAGCAGTGATTATATGTTGTATTTACAACAATAAATAGTGTAAGAGTTGAGACTTTGAGGAATAAAGGTAAAAAATGACTCAAACCGGTAAACAGACGCGCTGCTAAGCTTGATTCAATGTCACATGACGTTGAAATACTGAAACATTTACAAAATTTATAATGCGTTCACTTGCTCATTGTCACATAGCGGGTTCAACGAGGACAATGAAAATTGTGTTCGCAAATTTAAAACGTCACTACAGAGAGTACGAACCAGAAATATCCCTAGATGTTTGAAATGAAATCAATACTGTGTTTAGTTTTGTTTAATGTTATGTTCCGAGTGATATGGAACGTACTCTGGAGAAATGAGACTCGACTACGCGATCTCTAGTGTTGACGATGACGACAAATTAGAGCAATTTCTTTACATATATCTCAGAACGAAATTCACGGTTGTTAATAAAATCTCGTCAGTGTGACAAATGAAGACGTCTAGTTATGTTTTAAAGCGATGTTAGACTGGCTTTAGACAGGAAGTTTATCACATTATAAATTAGTAACAACCTTTTCTGATGTAGTTCGCGATTCGAAATGTTTGCACGCTTGCACAGTGCATGTGTCTGACCTGAGACAACCAATTATTGGTTATCTGAAATCTGATGGTATGTATGTGTGTGTATATGGAGGGGCATTCATGTACAGTGATGTAAAAAAAGTATTCCAAAACTTATAAGTTTAAAGGGCGACAGTCGTCGTGCCGCGTCCTGTTCGATATGAGACTTGTAGCGACGTATACAACGCCTGTAAAATACATTGTTTATTTACGTGAAAATCGAACACGCGCTGCGCGACGACCACCGCGTTTTAAAAAAAAAATCGCTACTCGTAGGATTATAAAACACGATCAACTGGAGACGGCAATAGCAAAAGCTATTGTTGAAATAATCCAGATTAAAATGAAATGGTCATGCCACATCATTCATATTATCGTAACACAGTCCGTAATAGTTTTGCCAACATGCAAGTAATAATCTCACTCATCAACTAACCTGACGATTTTGGGGTTAGTGTTATCAGCTTGTAAACAAACTAGAAGGGTTCTGTAAACATGCAAACTACAAATGATTAACAGCGGTCATTAGCATAGTCACACCTCCAATGAACAATCACCCGTGACTGAATTGGTTCATGGAGCTAAAAAAAGATTTCACAATTGGCCAAAGATATACGTTTACATTGTATTTTCTAGTGTTTTTGGTTCAACCTCTTGGAGCGGGACGTTTTTGCAGACGCCAACTTCCATATCATTCTCATTAGTAGCGGTGTTAAGATAAACATTAACTTGCATTAATTAGTACATCACATGATTAAATAACAGTTCTTCGAACCCTTCTTCGCCGTTCATGTACACAA